GCTACTCAGGAGGCTGAGATCTGAGAATCGAGGTTCAAAGCAGCCCGGGCAAGGAAAGCCTGTGAAACTCTTATCTCCAATTAATCACCAGAAAACCAGAAAGTGGAGCTGTGGCTTAAGTGGTAGAGCACTTTCCTTGAGCTAAAGAGCTGAGGGACAGCACCTAGGCCCAGAGTTCAAGCCCCACAACCAAAAAAAAAAAAAAACCCTCTGGTATGTACACTGAGCACTTAGGTAACCAGAAGGGAATAAGTATTAATTGTGTTCCACTGTGTGCCACATAACAGGGATTATATTTTCTACTTTACAGATGAGAAAGTCAGGGCTCAAAAAACATAAATAACTTTCCTATGATCACAAAGATAATGAAGCCTAAGTCTGTCTGATTCTACTACCTATAAAACAGCATTTTTATCTTCTTACAGGCATTCATTCCATGAACAGGTATGTCTTTATATTACATCAAAGAACAAGAAAGAACTAAACAACAACACAAAATACAGCTTGTCTTCCAGGAGTTTATAATCTATTAAGGAAAATACATACATCCACATAAAGTTATGAACATAAAACAATGATTAATCACTGCTGGATGGACGCAGTCACAAAAATGCTGTAAAGCTGGGAGACGGCTGCTACCTATGTGGTCTCAACAGTTAGAGAAGGTCACAGGACAGATCCTGGCTGGTAAATTCTGGGCAGGTAGAATGAAAGGGTACTCCACCCAAGGAAAGGCAAAGGTAAGGATGACCACAATGAATCTGGTACCATGGACAAACCAGCATGACTGTTTCAAATATGGCCAGTCCCAGGGGAAACAGCCTAAATGTCCATCCACTGATAAAACATAGCACAGGAGACCCACTGCACCTGAGGGTTTGCTTTGTGAGGTTATCCATGGCCAGCCATGGTCAGAAAAGATTAAATGGAAAATTCCAGAAATAATTCCTAAATTTTAAACAGTGCGCCATTGTGGTGAGTTCTCATCATCCCACACCATCCTGCAGTGTCCCTATGCTTCCCCATGCTTGTGTCTAAGCACTGCAGTCCTTCCTTATGTTACGAAGTAACAGCCAAAAGCACAAGACAAGTAATGCTAGTAATTCAGTTAAAAGAAACCAGAGACACTGTGAAGTGCTCCTTTAAGTGAAAAATAAAACATACACTAAAGTTGCTAAGACATATGTTAAAAAATATCTTCTATTGTGAAACGCTAGGAAAGGAAAAATAATTTGTGCTATTATGTGTCACACCTCAAAATGCAAATGTTATAGCCACAATGCACGGTGAGTGCTTAGCAAAAATGGGCAAAGCACTAGATTATAGGGCTCGGTACAATTTGCAGATTCCACATCTATTGGGTCTTGAAACATATCCCCTGAGGATAAGGGGGAAATGACTGAATACACATGTAATGGAATACTACTTTGCAATAAAAAAAAAGAAAAAGTACTGCTGCATACAACAGTATGGAATGGTCTGGAAAACACTGTGCCAAGTAAAAGCAGTCAGTCACAAAGGCCACATATTATAATTCTATTTATAGGAATGGCCAGAAAGGAAGCTCCATGGAGACCGAAAGAAAACTCATGAGTGGTTCCCAGATGCTGGGAAGATTTGAAAGAGAGACTTCTGGTGACTGCTAATATTATAGAATTTCTTTTTAGGCAGATGGGAATGTCCTAAAACTGATTATGGTAATAATCAGATACACTTAAAACCACTAACCTGTGTTCTTTGAGTAGTAAACTCTCTAGAATGTGAATGACATTTCAATATAGCCATTTTAAAAAGTGAGGAACTAATGGGACATCACACTGCACAGCTAAGGGAGTCCCAGGTTGTCCTGAAGGCTAAAGAAGGGCTGTAAAACACATGAATAAAGATTTACTTAGTGAACAAACAGTATACATACTTAGGACTCTTCTCTAATAGAATTACTCACATATTTTGAGTACATTCCTAAAATATATGCCAAAATCACACAGAAGAGAGAGAACAGAAAAGATGCTGTGATATGACTTTGACTAAGACACAAGCTGTGACTATTAGCAAAGTTGTTTTGCTTCAGTGCTAAATGCCACAGATGGGTATATCAGCATCATATTTATGCAAAAACCAGAAATTCATCTGTGGTAAATTTTCAAGTACCATAATGTTCTAAACTTACTGTGAAAATTGCATTAATAAGTGACCTGTCATGCTTTAGGCTAAGATAATAAACAGTAATTTCTTTTTCATTGGATGACAGTACTCAGTATATAATGCTTTTTTAAGATTATGAATCCAATTTAAGTGCTATGAGAAGCTCCAGTAACATAAAGCATTTCCTACTGGTACACATTTGACTCTAAATTCTAATTAATAGAGTATTCCGAGTGAGGTGGGGGTTTGGGGGTTGGTTTTTGAGGGGAGGGGGCAGTCCTGGGGCTTGAACTCAGGGCCTGGGGCACTGTCCCTGAGTTTGTTTTGTTCAAGGCTACCACTTAAGCCACAGCACTACTTCCAGCTTTTTCTGTTAATGTGGTACTGAGGAATCAAACCCAGGACTTCATTCATGCTAGGCAAGCATTCTACCGCTAAGCCACATTCCCAACCCTCCAAGACAGTTTTAATATGCAAAATAATAAAGCTACAGAAACAAACCTAATACACATAAGCAGAGGAATATTAAATATGCAATACAAGAAAAAGATAAAGCACTCAAAACTAAACCTGAAAATCACCAACAGATAAGAGAAAGGAGAGTCCAATATTAAGTTCTATAGCATTGGGAAGATTTTAGAAGTAGGCAGGGATAAACTGCATTTCAAACAATAATTCACAGCAAGAGAGCAGATAAAGCAGGAGGCTTTAACAGAGGCAGACTAGAACACATCTAAGAGACAACCAGCCCCCTCCCCTGAACCCCCAGCAGGCCTAAAGGCAAAACCCCACATGCTCCCAGGAGGTGGTGAGATGGTATAAATACAAAAGTAGAACTCAGCTGGCGACCCCATATACAACCAGACTAGTGTTCCCCTGCCTCCTGAAAGGTAGGTGAGCCACAAGAAACCAAAGGAGACATCTGATCCCTCCAAAACTCTCTTCTCTAAAAAGGGAAGGCCCAATCTACCTCTATAAAAGCTTTGTAAGTTTCAGATCTAAGTAAAACTTATGCTCTATGTCTGAAAAATAAAGAAAACTTAGAAGGCAGCTTCATTTTCTAACCAACAATAAAAGCAAACTGGAACACCAAAAAACTTTCCTAAAAAAGGCTTATCAATGATATCTAGAACAAGGTGTCTATATCACCAGTAAGTAGAACAATAGTCTCTGTTTCCAGCTGTACACCCATGTTTACACTAAAGGAAAGGGTTTAGTAGGAATAGCTAAGGGCTTATTTCCAATCATTAAGTGCTTCTTGTTCAGCTTATCCAAATGTTCATCAACTCTCTACCTACTTCCTTCCAGTAAATGAACTATGGAAAAGGCAAATGTTGACAGCTATTGTTCACCATTTTAAACATGCCGTTAGCAGGAAAAATACTTTCAAATATCACACAATAAAACTGGTTAAAAGTTAGGTCAGTCTCTAAGCAAACACCATAAAGTATATACTATTAATTGACAAGTGAATCATTTTTTTCTTTTAAATAGGGCACAGATGGTCATCTACCATAAATGACCAATGTGGGCAGAGGGGATATCAAGATAAAGCAGAAGCACTGTATACGGAACTGCTGAAGGCACTCTTTGGTGGTAGGCATATTGATACTTTCTACCTAAGAGCTGAAACTCAAGATGCCACTAATAGGTTAAAGAACAATTAAGAAAATGGAAGTCTTAGCAGTGGAATTCTTTAACAGAATTACTCAGTAAATACCATGGGGATGAAATCATAGTCTAGAAGCAAAAATAAAACAAGAAACTGGCCAGTACCTGGAAATGCCTAACTAGGTCTAAGCAAAGGAGAAAAGGACATAAGTAACATCAGCTTTTGAGGCTGGATTCTGAGAAATGAATGTGAAGAGCAATTTGTCAAAAAGGAAAAAAATGTGCAAATGAAAGAAAAATGGCAAAGAAAATATGCACAAAAGGCATTAGGAAAATTTCTACTTCTGAAGAATTTTATTTTTGTCAGTGGTGGGGCTTGAACTCAGAGCCTGGGTGGTTTCCCTTAGCTTTGGGGCTCAATGTTAGAGCCACAGCTTCACTTCTGGTTTTTAAATGGCTATTTGGAGCTAAGAGTCTAACCGACTTTTCTTTCCAGGATGTCTTGAAACTTTGATCCTCAGATCACAGCCTTCTGAGTAGCTAGGACTGTAAGAATGAGCCAAAGATACCCAGCTAGAATTTTTATCAATATATTTATTAATGGTCACTGTATTCATTTTTAAGAAGTTAAATGTACAACACAATTTTAAATGATTCAGACAACAGTATAGTTTCAATAATCATTTGCCATAAGCAATTCTAGAAGGCCTGTGAAGTGATTTGAAATCTAAATGACAGTAAGCTCAATTAAATTTTAAAAAATTTATAAAAACTCGCAAGCAAACCTATAAAGCTCATATAGGAAAAGTAGTATAATCAGGATACATTGAGCAGAAAAATCTGTATTTGTAGATTTCTTTTCTGTAAACACCATGTAATGTTCATACTCTATAACAAACTTAAAAATTGGTGGGTACTCTTAACTCTTATCTAAGCTAATAGTAATACAAGCAAAAAAACAAAGCCAGAAAAGAAAGAAAAGGAGTTCAGTTCAAACCTCTGGTTGTTCTGCTCTTCTTCCTCCTCCAAGCAATATTCTATAAACTAGTTATCTTATCGATTTCAGCTCTGAAATTCCTAAGTTCGAACTCAATCTAATTCATAATTAAGTGCCATGCATTCAAAAGTACTCTCTCTGTTCAAGAGATGAGTATATCTGAGCATAAATAAAACAACATTCCAGAAAGCATTCACTTATTCCACAAGACTGAAAGAACAGCAATTTCACAAAGACTAGGAAATACCTGAGCAGATAAACAGCCCTTTCAATATCACTGAGGTCTTCATCAACTGTCAATCTTTCTATTTCTTCTGGTGTCTGTCAAGTATAAAATACAAATTAAGCACATGTTCAGTACAGAGCAATAAAAAAGTATCAGCAATAAACTAATCAAGGGTCTGATGATTCCAGCTACCTCAACCACAGAGGTCTCTAATTGGGTGATCTACTTTGGGGGGGGAGCTGTCTGGGGCTGGAGAGTTGTTTTTACTCTTCTAGCTTCATGCAGCTTGAAAATCACGTCGTGGCTTCAGAAGCCTGCTAAAAATCCACTTCAAATGCATATATAATGCATGCATATATTATATACGTACATGCATATACACGCACTTCTTATCTCTAATACCCCAAGGCTTTCTCCAGCATTTTCTACCTCAGGAAATGCCAAAAGGGGGCGGGGGGGGTGAAGACTGCAATCTGGCGGGGGGTTGGGAAGGGAATGAACTCCGGGGTTGGAAGGAAATCAAGGATTGGAGACACTGCGGCAGGTGGGAGTGAGGCACGCTAAGGGAACTGTGAGGGGACGGGAAGAAGGGGGAGAGGTGGTCCCTACGCTAAGCTCGCAGGCCACGGAGCCCCTGGAGCCCGGGAGGAGGACTGCGAGGTGGGGAGCAGAAGCGGGGGAGAGCGGGGTCCCGGCCAGCGTCCGGCCCGAGGGGCTGGAAGGGAAGGACACGCGGTGACTCAGGGATGGGTCGGGGTGAGCCGGCTTTGAAGAGCGGGTCCCGCACCGCTCTGGGGCGGGGCTGGGTGGGAGGCCGCGCTGCCCGGGGACGCGGGACCCAACCTCGACCCGCCGGACCGAAGGACCGGACTCTCCTCAGAGGACTGCGAGTGGACCCGGGGACCCGAACGTGGGGCGGCACCACGGGGCGAGGGGTCGGAGCCGGGGGCACACTGAGGGCCGGGCGGCCCGGGGGGACGCGGGGGC